CAAATTGCAGGTTGTTGCGAGGGATTTTTAGACAATTAAGTTCAATGAATTGAGCTGGGTTCGATGGAACCTATTTGCTGGATTACATCGAACCCAGATCTGCTGGATTCCGTCGAACTTCATAAGGGATGGGCAAAGAAGCAATTGTTAATAGTGATGTGGGACCCACTTAGATGAATTTGGTGTATTTTCGCCGGGTAGCATGTGAGATGGCAAAAGTTGCATGCGTGTCATCACTTTTTTAAGTTTTGCCTTCCACATCATCAAAAAAAATATAAAAAATGCCACCTAAGCAGGGCTAACGGCCCAAATTAACAAAAGGACTAACGGAGTGCATTTCGTATAGTTGAAGGATCAAATAAGTGCAAAAAATTGTTGAGGGACCAAAAATGTTCATTTCTTAAAGTTAAGGGACCAAATTAAGCATTTAACCTAATTAAAAATAAGTTAAATATTAATTTTGATCCCTCAACTTTATAGAGTTGCATTTTTTTTTATCCCTCAACTCTAAGAAACGCACAACGTTGGTCCTTCCATCAATTTGGGCCATTAACTCCACACATGTGGCATTTTTTATATTTTTTTATGACATGGAGAGCACAACTTAAAAAAGTGCTAACATGGACAAAACATTATGCCATGTCATATTCTCACAAATCAAATGCACCAAAACCCCTCAAATGGGTCCCATATTACATGCAAAAAACCAAGTAAAAAAGATAATATGTCTATGAACCCTAGAATGCTTCAAAGCAGAATTTGGGCTCTCTGTCGTCAAACCCAACTACTGGGTTTCATTGAAACCACTGGATTCATCAAATCCAGCAGATCTCATCAAACCAAATTAACCCTTTAATAAACAATATCAATCAAATTCTAATCAAATTCCAACAAAAATGCAATCAAACTCTAATAAAATTCCAATAAAAATGTAATAAAATTGTAAATCAACTCCCAAATTTATCAAGAACTAAGAATGGAAATTGAAAAAAGAATGAAAAAATATGAAACCCAGCTTTCGTCAAACCCAGTGACCAGCAAGGCTGGGTTCAACGAAACCCAGCAGAGCTAGGTTCATTGAAACCTCAATCTGAGTTCCATCAAACCTAGTAGTTGGGTTCCATTGAACCTAGCAACTGGGTTCGGTAGTTCCACTGACCCAGGGTAGGAAAGAAAAAAAGAGAAAGAAAGAAAGAAGGGATTGAGAGGGTGAGGGTAATAATGTAATTT